GTGAGGAACTTCATAAGATAAGAAAATATAGAAGGAGCAAAGAGTAAGACACGCAAATCTGGGGCAGGATGGAAAGGAAACCATGATAACTTTACACGAAGTTCCGCATAACGGATGTCAACAATTTTGTTATCGATGGATTCCTCTCGCTCTCTACATTCCAAATATATGTCATCACTTGGACAATATGCAATATGAGGTAGTGGTGGAGTTGGGTAATGAAACCTATATAAATCAATAGCCACAAACCAAGACATGGTAATTCTTTCCAACATAAATGCACCCGTTGGAGGCTAAGTCCCCACTCCAGTCAACAATCTTGTGGGATCCTGTGGGGAATTGAGGGTTGGGGGGCTATGGTTGATTTCGCGCATACCAGGGATTTTAAAAGGTAAAGAAAGTGTAAAAATGAAAAACCCGAGCCAAGAATCGCATATCACAAAGTAAATAAAGTGAAAAATAAAAAAAACCTGAGCCAAGAATCACATTTCACAATGTAATGAAGACTTGATTCCGTGTTGCGGAAACAAACGAGCGTGCAAATCCGGCTTAAACACACAATCATAAAGATAGCCGTATGAACCAAAGAACTCCCTAACCCGGGGCTATGCCCCCGGACCCCTTCCGATCACTGTAATTCCCTATTGGGGGCTTTCCTTAACCTATCACAACCATAAACGCAGAATCTATTATAAAAATAACCGTATGACTCAAAGAACTCCCAAACCCGGACCCCCTCCCCAGTGCCGTGTTTCCCTATCAGAGGCTCTGTTCCCCTCTTTCCCTAACCCAATCATAAGCATAAGCATGTACCTTACTGTGGAGGGTATAGGCGGCGAGGAGGAAGTCATGAAACCTTTTATTCGGCTCACTGACTCTCATAAAAAACAGTCACCGTTGCACTTTTCACACTGTAAGTTTTTCAATATTAAATTGTGCTCTTGGTGCAATTTGATCAGTCCTTCTATGTTATCACTATATTTGTGAAAGAAATCCTCAAAACCAAGGTCGCACAAGCTACAAAAACTATGATCCACATCTGTCTGCTGGGGAAGAAGGACTGACCCGGGTCGTGAATCCTTAAAAGCTGGGTCGGACACACGTTAAGAGCCGGTCATTAAGCATAGTGATGGAAGGTACTTCGGTGGTTATGAAAAAACAAAATATACGTTATGTAGCTAATAATACAATGTAAATGAATGTTTAAGGGCGGATTACGTATATGGTAATATAGTATAAAGTGATTAGTATAAATGTAATGAAAAAAAGTACTATCAGATGATTTGTAAAACATATGAAATACTGGTAGTAGTTAGCATGACGTTAATGGCAGCAACGTCACCTGGCTTACATGCGCAGTCTGTGGGAAGTTGCTTTAAAAGCTGCGTGCGTGAGTGAATTTCCATCTTATATGCATTCCACATGCAGGGACTTAGCTGCATTCATGACATTATACTTTGTCTCTGCAGATCATTTCATATATCACTGAGTGTATTTTTTACATATTTTTTGTGACGGTACCCTTAGATTTTCCCTATCTTAGCGCGGTTTTGATATTAAGAATAACCCAAGACAGTTCTTCTATGGTAATATTTGAGCAAATGCTTCCCTAAGGTACTATACGGAAATGAACAGATGTTAGAGCCGAATTTTGGCAAAGTCAATCATCTTGTTTTCATGTCGAGAGTAAAACACTGGACAGACGGCAGAACTTATCACTGCAAGGTGCGAAATAGTTCATGTGTTACTGTACGATTATCAAAATGATATTTTGCTAATCATCAGTGTTTGTCGTTCCACATTTATGCTTTCAAAAAGCCTTTATTAATATTGTTGTACCTCATTTACTTGTTTTAAGATTCATTATATAAGTTTTTATGGGAATTGGTCTGAAGAATCTTCTGTGTTTTCATATTCCACATCTTTTGATACCAAATTTATGGTGGTTCCTATTGTCACCTGCAAAAAAACGTTTTTTAAATTTTTTTCACATGTGTCTGCGCAGAAGATCCTTTGTCCCAGAGGATTATGAATTATGTTATAAAAATAAAAAATATAAATGAACATCAGTGAATTCCTAAGACAACTATGAAGGCATTTTTTGAAATTCGATTTAGTTTTTCAGAATAAAAAGTAGCCTTTTTCGATTTTCAAAAATTTGTATTAAAAAGTAAGCAACATTTAAAAAATCTGATGCGTAGTTGTCTGCGCATTTTCACAAGATTTCCAACGATATATTCAAAACTTTAATCAGATAAAAACTCTGGGGCAAGGAATCTTCCATAGCTCGAAAAAAAAAAAAAAAAGATAAAAATAAGATAAATAGACAAATAATTGGATACCTGATGTTCATTTATTATATTTTTTCATTTATGGATTTTACCATTTCATTACTGTAGAAACTATTATGATTTGTCTTTCAAACTCACTTCGGTATAGACATGATCATTAGTCTCCGAGTTATAGAAATAAACAAACAAATGACTCCTGTGAAAAGGGG